CACCTGCCACAGTCCATCAGAAAAGACATCTTTTTTTCCCCTATGTGGTATTTATATTGATTATTTGGGAATTTTATATAATGCACTCCAATCACATTCCTCCCATGTCTACCCTCCTACCTTTGTGCTCCCCCCAAAGGAAAAGAGTACACCAACTTCAATTTGTGTTGTCCATAGACTCATTGGCTCATGGTCAAACTCCCAGCAGCCAGGCCCTTAAAGATAAAGGAGTCCTTTCCCATTACACCCTCACCAGAAGCCATCAACTGTTAATAGCTAGAGTACAGCATTGCTATCCTACTCCCTACCCTCCAGTTTCCATGGTCACCTGATCGTTGGCATAAGGTGCTATAACATCTTGTTTGGCTATTAGAATAAACATGTTAAAACATTACTGGATTCAATGACTCACATTTAATCTGTATTAAATTAAATTTGTAATTACTGGACTTTTAAACAAATTTAGAAATTAAAATTATGAACTAAAATATTTACTCTCCATGTTTAAACTGATTAAATAATAAATTCATTGAAAAAGAAAAGTGACAATTGATATTATAAAATATTTAAAACTATATAAAGCAGTGAGTTTTTTCACCAAAATTGGTTAGAAATAAACATATAAAGTGCCTTATAAATTTAAAAAATAAAGAAATGAGCTGTGGCTGTTGCTCAGTGGCATAGCACTTGCCTAGCATGCAATCATCCTCTTACTGCCAAGCAAACAAACAAGCAAAATCCCCACAAACCTGGAGAAACAAAAAATTGAACTTACTGTCTAATCTACAAAACGAGCAGAAAAATGTTCAAAGTAGGAATTAAAGAAAAAAAGTGAAATAATGAGAATAATTGTAATAAAGAACTGAAAAAGTATTGAGCTCATCAGAAAATGTCTTTAATTAGTTTTTAATAACCCTATCCACTAGGCATATATGTAATTTACCTGGCAATGAGAAGAAATAATATAAAATGTCTAAGATACAGAGAGAGCTATAAAATGAGTTATTTTAATAAAAATCAGAAGGCACCGTGAATTTATTAATGCAAATCATTTTGGTCATTTTCTTATTAATGTTTTAGAAATACGGATGTTTAAAATGTTAATTACAGAGCTGGAGAGGTGGCTCAGCTCTTAGGAGGACTTCTTGCCCTTGTATAGATAGCACTAAAATTCAATTCCGAGAACTGATGCCTGGCGCCTCAGAGTTGCCTATGACTCCATTGTCAGGGGATATGAAGTTCTTTTGGCCTCCATGGGCACTCTATGCAGTGTTCAAACTCACACATTGGCATGCATATCTCAAAATATGAAAAATCAATTGAAAATAATAATCTGTTTTCCTCATGTGTTTTCACTAACAAGTGTTTGGTTACATTCAGGGTTGACCAATCTTATTTTGGCATCAATAGTAGAGAGAGAACACTTAAGGTATAAAGCATTTTATGAAGCTAATGTAGCGTTCAGCGAAAACTGATTGAGAGTCATTAAGAAGATCCGTAGTTCAAGCTTCCCTATCAAAGTTCTGAAAGCACAAGAAAAGGCTGCCTTTGTCTGTGTGACATCACTGCATTATTAGCATCCACGGTTTAGAGAAGGATTTAGTGGGTATGGCTACTCTTTGGCTTCCAGTGTTTTCCTTCATGCTTGGTCTCTAAGTTTCCTAATCTTACTGTGAAGGATTGACGCGCAGAACTGCTACATGACCTGCAATATCCCTGCCTTTAGGCTTCACTTCCTTTCTCCAGCCACCGTCCCCAACACAACCGGAAGCTAAACATCAGTGCCCAGAGCCATTGCCTTGAGTGCTCCCTGCTCTGCACTGAGGGCTCCCGGTGGTCATCTGCCCCACCTGGTCACCAGGCATCTGGTCCCATCGGCTATTCTGCTTTGGTGTGCATTCTCACTCCTCCGCTCCAATTAGACAGACAGCACACTCAGCATGCTCCATGTCAAAACAACTGACTTCTAATAGACTTGTATTCACACTTTTTTTTTCCTGACACTCATGTTTTATTAGCACATGCTGGCTTGGCATTATTAACTCTTCTCTCCCCCGGGCTGCCAGAAAGAACCTTTGGAGTCAATCCTTAGCATTTCTTGCCTTTCCCTCCCTCTAACCAGTCTCACCAGAACCACCTTGGCCCAGTGCCCATCACTAACCTGGAACATGGCATCTTCCATAGCCTCTTGTTTTCCCAGTCTGCGCAGCTCATCACTGCTCAGTTTTTGTCGAGCGTCCTGCTCCTTTCTTAGCTCGCTCGATCGCCTTCCTCAGAGAGTCACTTTCTCTTACAGCAAAAATGCTACAAGATTTTAAGAACTCCCCAAATTAGTTGCTAGTGACTAGTCAACAGCATCTCATATTTAATTGCACCTCTTTATGGTCCAGATATAACATGAAATCTCATTGTACGTTAATCACACTGAAAGTGAAAGTAAAGACCTCCCACAACGACCTTGTAAATGAGCCTCTGCCTATGGAAATGAGATTATAGTTTGTGTCAGCATGGCTTTCATTTATTAAATCACACCAAAGCAGAGTTTTTGAAGAGGCTAAACTGAAAAGGCAAGTTTATGAATATATGGGTACTTTCATTCTTATTTAAAATGAGTTATTGCTTGCTTAATGACAAGTAATAAAAACATATATTTTAAAGAAGGCAACTGGTGTTTAAAAGCAACCCCTTGGTTCTGATTGTTAACTGGTTTTCTCCCCTGGGGGTAAGTGAAGACGCTGGGTACAGCTTGTCTAACATTATCATAAAGGGTCATTAAGAAAACAGCCTGTAACTTGTACTGATCTGTGGTTTCTGCAATTGCCCACTGACTTATATCCTCTGAATCCCTGGTCTTGACGTCCTATCAGTTGTTTCCTAAGTCACTTTAGGTCACATGTCATTATGACAGTGTCTGTTACTCAGGGGTCCAAGTCCCTTGCCACCTTCAGTGGTTATTTAATATAATAGCAGAGATTATGTAATTGATAATGAAACTGGATCACAACTGAGGCTTAATTTGGGGGAGCAGTGGCCTATGTTTGGTGAATATTCAACCTTTGAGCTGCTCTGCCCTAATCTTCACATAGTCCAAAATTCTCAGATTGTTTCATGAGAGAATTTACAATAATAGCAACAAAATCATAAGTTTTAAAATTAGCATTATTTAGTTAATTTTCTATTTATATTTATTCTTTTATGGATTCTTTAATTTTATCTTTTAACTTTTGTATTTTCTGTTTACTTTTGTATTTATATCCACTTTTTTGGTCCCACAAATGTTATCAATGAAAATGTGAATTTTCTACACAAATTCAATCATGATTCATAATTTTATGACACGTTTATTTTAGACATATAAATGAAGAATTTGCATATTTGCTTATATAATACTTTTCTATGTAACTTTAGTAATATAGGCATTATACTAATTAAAATAAAGTAACTTAACATTTAAATTGACATCTGTATCTTTAAACACTTAAAAGAAATACATTCTTTTTTTTTTTTTTTTTTTTTTTTATTTATTTATTTATTTATTATGTATACAATATTCTGTCAGTGTGTATGCCTGCAGGCCAGAAGACCCCATTACAGATGGTTGTGAGCCACCATGTGGTTGCTGGGAATTGAACTCAGGACCTTTGGAAGAGCAGGCAATGCTCTTAACCTCTGAGCCATCTCTCCAGCCCCAAAGAAATACATTCTTGTCTAAATTGTGATTTACCCATTTATTACCCACACCTTGCTAAGGTTTAAAACAAACAGCATCACTAAGTTCTGGAAGTAAAATTGAGCATCATTCTATGCTGCTGGAATTAGTGTGATTCATTCCAGCAAAGCCGTGCTAACGAGCAAAGTGCAGCCTGTGTGGGTGTAAATTTGTTCAAAGCAGTCAGCAGTGCTCCTCATTTACATAGAACAAGCACATTTAAAGTAACGTATACTGACTCAAAGTATTAGGCATTTCTTGTGTAGGTCTGAGATAACTAAAACAATTTCAGAAAGTTCTCATTTCCTCATAACTTTTTCCCCAAACATTGCTCAAGGACTATTTCCCACAGAGAAAACTCAAACCTGCAAATATGTACATTTAATTTTATAATGTGACATCTCTTACCTTGGGATGAGATTTCTTAGCCAGAATCATACACCGCTGTTCCTGACATTTAACTTCTCTTTACTCTCTGGAAACCTCACGACTACCTGAAAATGTGTTCCACTGGCTCACGTGCAATTATATCATCAGTCCCCTCTGTGTGTAACAAGAGACCTTAACCACAGAACTGGGAAATAAAAGGAAGAATTATGCCAGGAGCAGCCACGATGCCAGAAACCTGCTTAGCAGTGATTGGCTAAATGGGCCAACCAGTTGAGTTTCATTCAGCACACTGGACTCTTGAGTTAACCTACGAGCATATTCTTTTTCTCATTTTCCCTATTTTTTTTTCTTTTCTAAGGTCTCCTTTGATTTCATGCTGGCTTTTTAAATTGAGGATAAAGTTAATTCACTTAACAATGCCACAGCTGGAATTGAGTATGCCTCTTCCACTGCTGAGCTGAGGGGTTGAGCTGCTTTGGTGTGTCCTATTGGATGCCCAACACCCTTGACGGCTGTTGCTGACTGGTGCTTCTAGCGACAGGCAAGAAGTTGGCTAATTATGAACATATGGTTTGGCAGACACCTTGTTAGCGTGCTGCTGTGGAGGTGTTTGGAGGCAGGAGAAGGGGGAAACTTGGAGGTAGAAGGTGTGGTTGAAAGTCCCACTGATAAGCCTGGGGGAGATTTGATTGATCCTAATCTATCCTTTTTGTCAGGAGCCAGCGTGCTTCTGGCAGCAACAGCTTGGTAATAACAGAGATTTGTGGCCCTTAAGCTCTTGTGGTGATAGCCGGCACACGACCAGACCAGTCAACTGGCTGCTTAAAAGGCCTTCCTTTAATTGGCCACAGTGGTGCGAACAGAAATGAGATGTTAGGTCAAGGTACAACACATGGCCTACCTGAAATGGCTCGCCGTGATCGGCTGCACAGATGTCACCCTTTATTGATGTGATCCTCAGCAGAGGGACAAGAGACGCCTTGGGGAATGGGCTGCAGGCAAGCATGTAGTAAGAGCAGCAAGTGCAGTCTGCATGTGCATATTACCTCCAGGAAAGCAGAGGTGTATACAGGATTGAGAGAAGTCTTAGTACATTGTTTGTGGGTTATCCAATTAAAAAAAAATGAGTGTTTGCAATTTATAGAATGGAAAAATGAAATAAAAACCCAGTAGTGAATTTGTATGTGAACTTTGGATGGTTTTATTACTCTTGTTTTATAAATTGTGTGTGTGTGTGTGTGTGTGTGTGTGAGAGAGAGAGAGAGAGAGAGAGAGAGAGAGAGAGAGAGAGAGAGAAAGAGAGAGACTGGATGTGTATACGTGGTTCAAATGCTCTAGGAGGCCAGAGTCCTCAGATCTCCCTGGACTTGGAGCTACAATGGCTGTGAACTTGCTGTACAGTTGGATGCCAGTGCTGGGAACAAAACTCTGTTCCTCTGATAGAGTAGGGTACGCTTGTAATGAGTAAGACTTTGCTTGACTTTTAGTGTTTCTGATTTGTGTAGCGAGCTGCATGGTGTCACACCTGATGGAGATGTATAATCAACTCCTGAGATGGCTAAGGCCTGACCTATGCTATGATCACGCAATGATTATCAGCTGCCTGCATATGCGTGAATCTATGGGCAGTGCCCATCTGGCAGTTCGGGGTTGGCAGCCCATGCCTACTTAAGGGCTGGGAGAGGGCTGGCCCAGAGAGAGAAAGAGCAGGAGAAGGAGCTAGATTGCTGTGAATAAAGTCCTGAAAACTGCTGCAAGAAGAGCTCCGGGTGTTGCGTTTTTCCTTGCTGGTCGAGGGTGGACATGACAATCTGTGAAGTGTTCATGATCTTTCTGACATCACTCTGATTTATCTTCAGTGCCACCACTTTTATTTCCATCCCCCATAAACCTTACAATGTTCTGTCTTTTCAAAGCTTCATGACACTGTACACTCTTGTCCTTCTGCAAATTCATTGCTTTGTTTTTTCTCTCTCTGCCTGAAACCTATATGTTCTTTAAAACTCTGGTCCATTATTCTCCGCTTAGCTAAAAAGCAATTATTATTTCTTCTCCTGCGTCTATTTGACAACTCAAAGTGAACTTTGACTCTAACTATAAGTGCCCTTGTACATGACTTCATGCAAATTGTATCACTTAGTTAAGGGGTAGAGAATACTCTAAGGACAAGGGCTTCAGGTTAAAAGATTGAATGAGTCTAATTCCTAAACTACTCTGATACTAATTAACTATAGGACCTTGGCCATGATGCTTAGCTATTCAAAGTCTTAATTCCAGTCTCCATAGAATAAAAACATGATTGGCCTCACTGAGTTCTTCAAGGATGTTATAATGAAATATACAGACTCCCAATCTTGTGCAAGCATCTTGAATTTCAAAGTATGATGGAAACTGTATCGGGTAGATTTTTGCATCTCAATTATTAATTCTGTATCTGAAGTCTTGTACATGAAAAACAAAATTTTTAAAGGAGGACCACTTCAAAATCCACATGCCTCTACATTTGTGTTTCCATCATACAGAGGTAATATCCACGATAAAATTCCAATGTATCCTCACAAAATTGAATTAAAATGAACAATCTTGGCAATAAGAGGCTCTTGTTCAGGAAATTGAGGAATATAATCAATATAATAAAAATAATTCAGTTATGGAAGACTCAAGCAATAGACAGACATTCTTGTGTCTACCATTGTCCATGCCTGGATTTTCTGATCTTGTACATAGAGTATCTAGCTATCAAAGCACTCAGTAAGATGGAAGTGCAGAATATCAGCAAAACTGCGGCTGTGCTTTGTACCACTAAGACTTGAGAAGACTACATACTGAGAATGCTTCATTAGATACTAGGATATTGGCAGGGTCTGTGGTGGATGGCTCAGCAGAAAAGAACTGTTGCTGAGGAAACACGAGAGTCTGAAGAGAAATAAACAAACGAAAACAAGGACAAAGGAAAAACCTCTCATGTAAAAAGGTAGATGTGGCTCAACCTAGGGCCTGGAATCCCCATACCATGGGAAGCACGGACAGAAAAACTGCTGGACCTGACAAACTTGACTCCAGATTCAATGATTATCCTGACTGAAGAGTAAGAACACTGACGTCTTGTAGCTTTTCATCTAGGGCATTGGCTTATAAAATTTCTCCCTTCCATGTGGCCTCTGATGGTTGTACAATTCCAAGTGATATGTCCTAATCACATGTACGTATGAGCAAAGTTAAATAGACTTTAAAACTTCGGAGGATTATAAAAACAAGAAAGGTGCAGACACTTTAGGTACAGGCAGTGTAATGAAAGAATAAGAAGCCTAAAAAGACTGACTTTTGAGGAAACAAGGTAATAAGAGTGGCTATAAAGGGATGGGTTAGCAAGAGATGCATGTGTGCCTATCAAAGAAAATACCAACGTCAAAAACTTGGGACTGAGTCAAGGAAAAGATTACCACATAGTTTTACATGGTTTTAAAGTATCAGGGATGAGGAGGGAAGCAATGAACATTATCAAACTAATGGTCTTGAATAAATCAACTAAGATAAATATTCACATTGTTATCACATTGAGCAACAGAGAGCTCATTTGATTTATGAGCAAGGGCTATCCCAGTGTGTTATAGGTGTAGAGGCAAAACCCAGACAATAGGGAGCTTAGAAGAGTCTTTGAACACAGGTAAGGTTTTCCTCCCTTTATTTTGGCAAAAAAAAAAAAATAGAGAGCATACACCCAATATTTTAATCATTTAAAGGACGAAGTCATTGTTTTAACTGTATCTTTACCTTGATATGCAATAATTACAACTGTCTAAAAAGTTTTACCTCTTTCCACATTGAATGTCAGAACTTATGATTACTGGCTTTTCATTTCTGTTTCCTCAGCCATATTTCTTTCTTTCTTTTAAATAAGAAGGAGACCCCAAAGAAAAACATATAGGCATCCTCCTGAATATTAACCTTCATCAGGTGATGAAAGGAGACAGAGACAGAGACCCACATTGGAGTACCGGACAGAAATCTCAAGGTCCAAATCAGGAGCAGAATGAGAGAGAGCATGAGCAAGGAACTCAGGACCACGAGGGGTGCACCCACACACTGAGACAATGGGGATGTTCTATCGGGAACTCACCAAGGCCAGCTGGCCTGGGTCTGGAAAAGCCTGGGATAAAACCAGACTAGCTGAACATAGCAGACAATTAGGACTACTGAGAACTCAAGAACAATGGCAATGGGTTTTTGATCCTACTGCATGTACTGGCTTTGTGGGAGCCTAGGCAGTTTGGATGCTCACCTTACTAGACCTGGATGGAGGTGGGTGATCCTTGGACTTCCCACAGGGCAGGGAACCCTGATTGCTCTTTGGGCTGACGAGGGAGGGGGACCTGATTGGGGTTTGGGGAGGGAAATGGTAGGCGGTGGCGGGGAAGAGACAGAAATCTTTAATAAATAAATAAAATTAAATTAAAATTAAAAATAGAATTTTTTCATATAATATATTCTATCATTCCCCTTCCCCTAACCCAAGTCCACACATAAAAATCCACAGCCTTTCTTTCTTTTCTTCTTTCTTTCTTTCTTTCTTTCCTTTCTTTCTTTCTTTCTTTCCCTTCCTTCCTTCCTTCCTTCCTTTTTTCTTGCTTGCTTGCTACTCTTTCTCATTAGAACACAGACATTTAAAATAAAATAAAAAGAAATCAGAAAATAACAAACCAAACAAACAGAAAAAAAGAGCCAAAGAAAAAGCACAAGAAACACATAGACATAGACACACACACACACACATACACACATTTTTCATATACAGAAATCTATAAAACCACAAAACTAGAAACAATAATATATACGCAAAAGACATGAGTTCATTTTGTGCTGGCCACCAATGGCTGGACATACCTTCAATGTAATTTGTTTACTCTCTGAGACTCCATTCAAAATATTAATTTTTCATTTGCAAGTGGTATCAGTTGGAGACAGCTTCTTGGCTAAGGATGGGGGCTTGTGTCTACTTCCCCTTTCAGAGCTGGGCCCCCATCTGGGACATGTGCACACTGCCTCAGTCTCTGTGAGTTCATGTATGCTTTGGTCTTATTGTGTCTGGAAGACACTGTTTCCTTGGAGTCTCCCATTCCCCACTAGCTCTTACAATCTTTTACTCCCCTCTTCTGTAGAGTTCACTGAGCCCTGAAGGGAAGGATTTGATGGAGACATTCCATTTAGGATTGAGTGTTACAGGGTCTCTCACTTTCTGCACATTGTCTGGTATTATGTCTCTATATTAGTTCCCATTCCCTGCTGCTTCAGCATTGAACTTGTAATTTTTCTGCCCCAGTTTACCAAGTGACAGAAATAATAGGCCTTTATCACCAGACACAACTAAGAAACATCTTCCCAGTACAAAGAGGAAAAAGGTTAAGATATTTAGAAAGCTTTGACTTTTTTTTGTTTTTTTTTTTTGTTTGTTTGTTTGTTTTTTCAAGACAGGGTTTCTCTGTGGCTTTGGAGCCTGTCCTGGAACTAGCTCTATAGACCAGGCTGGTCTTGAACTCACAGAGATCCGCCTGCCTCTGCCTCCCGAGTGCTGGAGCTTTGACTTTCTTAGACTTATATTTTCACAGACTTTGAGATGATAATAGTAAATAAAGTGTGCAGTCAGGGAGATTCCTTGGAATTCTGCAGGAAGTAGAGGTGTTTTAATAAAACCATTTCAGACAATAGAAGGAGTTTACTTGAATAAAGAAGACATTGAGTCAAGGCAATGAGTCAAGTCAAAGGCATAGCCATTACGAGGCCCTCTCCCGTGTTAGGCACATATATAAACACAGATAGTAGACTTCACTGATGCAGAGGAAATTCAATATCCCATGGATACCAGACAGGGTAGTAGTTAAGAACAATCAGAAGATCGACAGGATGGAGCTCCTTCCACTAGGTTGAAATAAGCTCAGATAAGAATATCTGTTGTTTATCTGTTGTGTAGCAGCCCTTTGACCATGGCAGAGATCCTCTAGATTTTTC